AATGCCAACAAACTGCAGCTCGACCAGCTCAAGGTACGTCCAGATTAAATGTTAACAGCTGAAAAGCGTCTTATACTGACCTCTAGTGGTTAAAGTTTCTTAATTTCACTGCTTTTCAAACTGTTGGGCTGGAACATGGACAACCATGGTAAAAAGATGGAGTGAGGCCAAGTTAAATGAATATGACTCTAGTCTGGAAAATAAACAAACAAGAGTTTACGGATGCTGTCCTGCTAACATTTTGTTCATTAAAACTCAAAAAAAGTTGTTTCTGATTGTTTAAAACTTATATATCTTCCAAATTGAGTTGATTGGTTCAGCTCCCCGTCACTACCAGATCTACTGCCCATTTGCGCATGTGCGAAGGTAACTCTACTTGGACAAACTGCCCGAAATGCGTTGACAGAAACACTTCAGGGATTTTGAGTCATTCTGCGCTCCAGATGCGTTAAAATTTTTTTTTTTCCGCGTTAGTCGTGATGCCGGCTTTAATTTTGACAGTACTAGCTATTATGACACTAATACCAACATCTTTTTTTCTTTCTTCAGGAACATTGCCTTAATTTTGTGGTTAAGGAGTCACACTTTAACCAGGTTATCATGACGAAAGAGTTCGAGCATCTCTCCACTCCCCTGATAGTGGAGATTGTGCGACGAAAGCAGCAGCCTCCTCCTAGGGTGTACTCTGACCAGCCTGTGGACATCGGGACCTCCCTGGTGCAGGACATGAAGGCCTACCTGGAGGGAAGCGGCTTTGAGTTTTGTGACATTATTCTGCTGTTAGATGGTCACCCACGGCCTGCACACAAAGCCATACTAGCAGCTCGGTCCAGGTAGATCAGCGTAGATTTTATGGATGGGTTATTTTGTTTTTGTTTTGTATTTTTGGTACCTTACTTAAGCTGAATTTGATTTAATGTGGATTTTATGCTCCTGTGCCGATAGTTGACTCTAGGTCTACTACTACTAGATCGACTCTAGAGTAGATTTGATTGCTTTCTGTAATGGCTTGATGTTGTATCACAGTTGGTCATGGTCCATTTCAGCTTAATGGTGTGACTTATCCTTTTGATACTGTTACTCCTCAGTTACTTTGAGGCAATGTTCCGCTCCTTCATGCCCGTGGACGGTCAAGTAAATATATCCATTGGTGAGATGGTCCCGAGTAAGCAGGCCTTTGAGTCGATGCTGCGTTATATCTACTATGGTGACGTGAACATGCCTCCAGAGGATTCCCTGTATCCTTTTCAATTGTAGAGTTTTTTGGGTTTTTTTTTTTTTTAACTTTAACATTTCTGCAAATATAAATAAAAATGAAATGAGTAAAGATAGCCTAGATAATAATAATGATTAATTAATTAATTTCTGTCTAAAAACAGACCTCAATACTTTTCTTCTGTTCAGGTCCTTAAAAAACACAACATATTCCTACAGAGACATTTGTATCGAGTACAGTTTGTATCACTAACAGTAAAACTGCTGGCTCGTCACAAAAGAACTCAATATTTAACATAAAAAAGGTGTGAACTTTTTATCTGTAAGTTAGAAGATGGTGATGTTTAAGTTAAGAGTTAGTGTTGGTTAATGTTTATAAATGGTTTATAAGTAGATAAGTTCAGGGACACAATGAAATAATTCATAAATATGTCAATGCCAGAAACAAAATAGGGCCTAAAATGTTTCTGTTATGGAGTTGTTAAATTTGCAGTTTCATATAGTGAGTTTCTAAATCACACTGAAGCTTTTTCGAAAATTAAGCCACATGGGTTGTCAAAGCACCCGCCCTTACTTTTTGGTTAATGTGAGTTTCATTGCGGTAAACTTGGTTTACATCCTTGACCCTGGATTAACAGCTATCTGTTTGCTGCACCATATTACTATGGGTTTTCTAACAACAGGCTGCAGGCTTACTGCAAGCAGAATCTCGAGATGAACGTCACTGTGGAGAATGTCTTGCAGGTATTGTGCTTTCTCCCAGGGGGAGCAGTGACCTAATTGGACAGTGCAGTCCCTCACTTTTGTACAAAATAAATCATTTCTTCACTCACTTCTCTCTCGCTATCCTCTCTCAGATTCTTGAGGCAGCTGATAAGACCCAGGCTCTGGACATGAAGAAGCACTGTCTCCACATTATTGTCCACCAGTTCATCAAGGTGGGTGGGCTTGTATCCGAAGCCCTGGGGGTTTGCTGCCCACTCACTGCAGCTGAGCTAACCCTCTAGTCCCCTCTTCTTTGCGGGAGACTGACACCTTTGGCCTCTTAGTGGATCACCCTCCATCTTCTGCGTGAAGAGGAGACTGTTTACAAGCTGGCCGGCTGTACAAGCACCTCATCACATTGCGATGAGGTGTCGCTCTGATTATTGTTTGTTATCCAAAGGAACAAAGAAGCACTCAGTTTTCACTTTACTTCACTGGAGTGTTAGCTCTGCTGTATTTCTGTTAAGCTTTTATCTTCTTTTTATCTTTTATCTTCATTTTGTTGTGCATGAGCAATCAAGTGCTGCTTATTTCCCATTTTTGACTCATTGTCTTATCTTAATTTGCTGTTCTTTTTTTCATTTTTTTTGTTCTCCTCCCCTCCCAAAGGTATCCAAGCTCCCCAACCTGAGGTCTCTCAGCCAGCTGCTGTTGTTGGACATCATTGAGTCGCTAGCCACACACATATCAGACAAACAGTGTGCCGAGATGTGCTCCGATATTTAGGACGGCTCTTTTCTACTCTTGCAGAAGCCATACATCCCTGCTCCACCTAATCATTCCTTGCATGTGTCATACCCCATTCAACTGATGCCTTTTATCCACACTGTATCGAGTTGCTATTGTTGTTGTTGTTGTTGTTTGTCCCTCTGCATCTCAGCGAGGAATGAAATCAGTGAAGGAACCAGATTGTACCTAGAATTGTTAAATAGTGTAAAATTATCTTTTCATGTATAACTCTGCTTTTATTTATTTTGTACAGACAGACCTTTTTTGCAAAGAGATTATTCTGCTCACTGTTGCTTTGGCTTTTTTTTTTTTTTGATAAATATACAGGTTACTGTATATTTTCACAAGTGTGACAATAGAAATGGATTCAATTTCATCAGATGTATCATCTCAATAAACCATCACATCTATTAAAGTCAAATGGGTTATTTATCTAAATCTCTATTCATTTAAGTTTGTATTATTTACATATGTCTTTTGTGGTAAAGAATCCAAATCATATGAAAATAATTATAATATATCTCTGTGTTAAGTACTGTTGCTGGCACATGTCTTTGTGATAATTCTTACCATTAACAAAATCTGTGTATCCTACAATACTGAACTTAGTATTTAGTGATATTATTCTGTTATCATGCACTTGAAGCCTTAATAAATCTCTTACAGAATGAGTCATGTGTTCTGTGCCTGTGCTCTGATTCACCAGTATACCAACGTGATTGAAGTTTGTGCGCAACCATTTTGTCAGTTAATCAATAAACACAAAGGAATGTGTCAAAAAACTGAAGTTTTTCTGAAACCACAGAATTGATTGATTTAACCTCTCTTTAGAAGCTATTGTCACGTTGTGTTATCACGAATCTTCTGGGCTCTAGATTCGTGATAACACTACACAAAAAGAATAAAGTCATCTGTTAGAGTCTCTAACAGATGACTTTATTCTTGAGCCCAAACCTAACTTTTAAACTGCTTTTAAATCCTACAGCCATCTGTGCAAAGAGCCGATAACTCCATTATGTCAGCTTTGCCTAAAACTACAGCATTGGCCATCCTCACTGGCTTTATGCAGGGACCATATTAGACTGGATCAGCCGGCAGGTTGTTTTGCTGTTTTTAGTGTTTGGGGTTAAAGTGGGGCAGCAGTCCTCATCCAGTCCAGCAGTATAATTTTTAATTTTAAACAGCTGATGTTTAAAGTGAAATATTCAAAGACACTTTTGTTGGCCTTACTGGTGCTAATCTAAAATTCAGACTACTGTTGCAAACTAAAGCCAGTGCAACTTAAACACAGTGTGAAAAAGCTGAAGGTCAGACCTTGACCTTTCATTAAATTAGCATGTCCGTCAGGGGTCTCAGTTTCCACAGATCCATGCATGATAAGTTCAGACAACACTCCCTGGTTTGAGCGGATGAATTCCTTTTGAATCTGCAAGGTTTTGCACTGCAGCGATTTTGGTTTACTCACGTGATCTAAATTAAATTAAGTGGTTTAATTTTAATTATTCATTTGAGATGTGTTATAGGTTCTTATGTATGTACTGAGGTCACCCTTAATAATCCCAGTATGAGATGAATAAAACTAAAAGAAAAGTATTTTCTGAACGTTTATAGTAAATTTTGTTCATGGGACTAAGACAAAATGTTTGTCCTAAATGCAGAGGCATCATATTGGTTTTCTACAAGCTGGCAGTTGTACTGCAGGATCTGTAACAACCCACAGAGGAATTCCCAAAGTGCTGGACTCTTTTGGACTTTTGTATTGCTGCAGTGAGCACAAAGTGCTATTCATAGTAGAGATACTTGAGAAATTTTGCAAATCAAAATAAATATCTTAAACAAATAATATATAATCAAAAACGAAAGACCATACCTCACCTAATTTTGCTGAAACGTTTAAAGTTGTACTGAAGTTCACAGTCACGTGAAACAGTAACTTTTATGTCTTTCTTTTTTATGTGCCCCTCATGCACAGGTTGCTCGTTTCATTCAAGTTGACTTGTGCAAACACACGGCCCAGAATCCCTCTGCTCATATCTGGTTTCATTTAAATACAGAGTTCGTTGTTCACTGGGATGACATTGAACACTGAAACCAAACAGTATGGCCGTTGTTGTGTGGTACGAGATTTTCTCCTACTTATCAGGTGCATTTTCTTAAAGAAGTAAGAAGTGGGCCGTCCAGGTCTGTCCAGCAGGTGGGACGAGCTACAGAGCCACTTGGATGGCTTACCTAACTTTACTTAGATTTGGACACAGAATCACAGCACAGACTTCACTGCACAAAGGCAGAAGATGGTTTTTCTAACAGCTAAAATGATGCAAAGGACCGCGCTCTTTGTGACAGTTGGAGGCTTGGTGACATCTCTGATCACCACCTTCCTTCCACATTGGAAAACAATGAACTCTGATCTCAATGAAGTGGAGAACTGGTTCTCTGGGCTGTGGCACACCTGCCTCTACACCGAGGAAGTGGGAATTCAGTGTAAGGCCTACGATTCCATCATGGGACTGCCGTTGGACCTACAGATCTCCAGGGTGCTCATGTCAGTGTCTATTGGTACTGGTGTTTCAGCTGTACTGGCTGCTTTCCCGGGTCTGGAGGGGGTTGAGATGTGTATGGAGCCGCCTGGTGTGAAGAGAAGGCTCCTCATCTTTAGTGGGGTGCTGTCCTGGGTGTCTGGGCTCACTACTCTGGCTCCTGTGTCTGTTGTGGCCTATACAACTGTGGTGGACTTCTGGGATGAGGGTTTTCCTGATGTGATGCCACGATGGGAGTATGGGGAGGCGATGTTCTCCGGATGGTTCGGAGGACTGGCACTGGTCATCGGAGGGACTTTGTTCTTTGTAGCTGTGTGCATGGGCGACTACGACTGGCAGACATCGAGTGTACCAAACAGCCCACAGGTGAAGCAAAAGACACAGCACTACCTAAAGACGGAGGTTTTATAACTTGCATATTCCCATATGTGTAATATCTGCGTGTTCATGTACGTTATATGAAAGCATGACAGCCTGTGAAAGATTACAGTAGTTCTACCGAGAAGCACAGAAGTGTTTTTGGGGCCCTTTTGTTTTTTTTTACTGGATTTCAAACTGGAAATAAAACTTTTTTTTCTGTGATCTCTGTTTAGAAGAAAAAAATCTGAAGCAACTGTGTGCGACACATTTTATTAAAACAATGTGAGACAGTAGATGACTGCTGTAGTTTTTATTCTTGTTAAAGCATTGGAGGACAATTTATTTAGTAGAACATACACACCATTGGAACCTCACTTAATGGTATGGTAGCTAGTCAAAATAACATTTTGGTTGAATTACTCATGCATTAGTTATAATGTTGAGTGATGTGTGCAATAAGCGCACAAAAGTATGTCATAAAGTTTCAAAACATCAGAAAGGAACCTACTAGCACCATAATACCGATTTATTAGCTGAACTGAAAGATGAAGAAACTTAAAGAAACCTAAAATCAGCACACTAAACAATAAGTAAACAGCACTCGGGTCGGTAATGAAAATGTCCCACATTAGTTGTGAGCAGAGTCTGAGTGCTCACTGCCGTGCAGGAGTGAGTAAATGAGCAGGGGTTGCATTCTTGAGCTGCAGCTCCTCTGTGTTGAATTTCATTTCATGGGGAGGGGGCTTGGTGCCATCAGCTCCTTTTAGAGCTTAATGTACTCTGTTGCTCACTGTTTTTGTCAGAACTGATGTAAACTGTTTTGTTTTATTTCACCAAAAAAGGGCACTGATGTTTCTTTGGCTGGGCGATGTACGTTATTAGCATTTACTTACCGATTGGTTCAAATCTAATTAACAGGTTAAATCTACCCCTGATAACTGCTGGCATTAATATTTTGGCAGAGCATTTGTTTTATAAGCCAGGAATGATTCATTCACTTCTCCCTGCTCTCTTGATCTGGCTTTTTAGATACTGCAGCTCTCTGTGACCCCTGGCAATTCAATTAAACTGAGTGATGTGTCAGTGATGTCAGATGGCCTTCCCTGCACACTGGGCGAATCTGATAGTTCATCTTGTCGTGCATATCCACATGCCCCACCCTGGCTTTCACTCAAATATGCTTTTTCCATCAAACAAGAGCAGTGCGTGTGCACCTGTCAGCTGCCAAACATCAAATTAGTCCATGTGGAGAGTGGAAATGATCTAATATGATCTCTATTCTTCTATAATATGTTTTGTTTTGTTTTGTGTTTTTTTTAAAGTGAAAGCATTAGCATTCTGAAAACACCATAAAGGTTTTGGTCCTGCATGCTGATCATCACCCGTGTCACTGCTGTCATCATCATTTCCATAGAAATGAATGTGTGGTTATCAGGTGAATGACCTTGACCCATCTCTCCCACAGTGGGAGCATAAGGAATGGAAATAACTCAAGAGCTCATTTCTATAAGACTTAGTAGGCTATACCTTTGTAATCCGTCTCCATGCTACCCCCTCACTGAACCCAGGATTTACTGCAACAACTGCACTTTTAGGCTTTCTTCCTCTGCTGCACACACTGATAGAAGTGTAGCATTCACACACGCGCGCGCGCACACACACGGTAAGTGCACCTTCGGTGTTTATTTTATGTTCCCTGGTGGTCAGTGTAACTGCAATAAATCCAAACACTGGTAAGTTTTAACAGCAGATGATGCTCATGGAAGCAGCATTTACAGGGAGCAGCCAGTGTAATAGGTGGGCAGTCATTGGGGCAGTGCTTTGGGGAGGGTAGTTAAGTCTTTGATCAGGTTTAGCTGGCAAGTCAGGTCTTTGACATTTGAAGGCGAGGCTGAAAGGGTCTGAACAGAAAAGCAAGCCTGGCGCGCGTGCACTCACACACACACACAGAGAGAGAGAGAGAGAGAGAGAGAGAGAGAGAGAGAGAGAGCGTGTGTGTGTTTAGGAAAGAGAGAGGAGGGTTGGGTGGAGGAGAGCAGGGAACGGTGAGAATTCATGCTGTGTTAGCATCCCCTCAGCAACTCCATCAATACCGCATACAGCTGAGAAACTGGCAAAGGTCCTCCGTGCTGCGTTTTCAGGCTTGGACTGCAAAAGAGAGCAACTCCCACGACCGGTCGGCTCAGTGTGCTGCTCTTGCTGCTCCTGCTGCTGCTGAGGGGGACTCTGAGAGGGGCAGAGCGCACACACACGTACACTCACCCACACACTCACTGGAGCCTCTGCTGCATCAAGAGGAAGAAGAGGAGTGCGGAGGAGGGTACGGAGGGACACGCAGACTGGGAATACTAGAGCCAATCCGGAGAGGGAGAAGACTGCGAGGAGACCCGTGCTAATATGCTGCCGTGGTCCGCGGGGACGGCTGAGCACCAGGGACTTTGACAGGATCTCAGTGCACCTGCTCCATGCACGCGGGTAAGACCCTTCACATTCATTTTACACCAGGGACTCAGAGTTTGAGGTAATTACTTTATATGTGTTTATGTGATGCTGTGTGTGTGCGTGCGCGCGCGTGCGCGAGAGAGATCCCACTTATTTCTTCAAGTGGGTTTTGCCTGCATTGGTGCACTGTGGTCACATACAGTACTTTTAAAGGAAGTTGCTTGCTCTGGGGGCTCTTCTGTAGAGAAACACGCACTGTTTCTCTACAAATCAGTTTGTTAATAAAAACACATTCATGAGTGGAATAGATGAAAATCTTGGAGAAATTCTGATCTCTCCAGCTTCACACATATCAGATAATGTTTTCCAGTCCATATACACCAGTAACTTTTACAAAAATGAAAACAGATCAAATATATCACAGCACATCTCCAATCATAATTTGACAGCAGCCATGTGTATCTTTGTATGCGTCTGCGTGTGTGTGCTGAGAAACTGGTCACTCTCAGAACTGCTCTAAGGAAGTACAGCTGCCCTGTAGGGGTGTACACCCCTCTGAAGAACTCAGTTCCAGTTTTCCATGACATCATGGAGAGGTTATTGCTCAAAGTAGCAGCAAAATTACCTGATAGAGCCATGTAGTGCCATTGTTAACCAACTTAAGCTTTACAGACATACAAAACATATTGGCATCTGAGTCAACATAAAGCCACAGGAACTTGTCTACTTCATGAACTCTGTGCTGTTGGACAGTAAATAACACTGAATGCTTATTTGGTCTTTGTTTTCTTGAACCACGTGGCAGCTGCTGTATCATGTGAAGCAGTAAGGTTTTTTGAATTCCCCTTAAAAGCTTAATTAGGACTGTACCTGACTCTGTAATCAGGTAAATGTATACTTTATTTATCACACATTATATTCCCGTTTCTGTTGGCGTCACATGGAGCTGAATTTATTTCTTCAACTCAAAGGAAACAAAAGCAAGACTATACACACACACTGCTCTGAATAATCTGAATGAAATTCAACACACACACACACACACACACACACACACACACACACACACACACACACACACACACACTGGAGCCTCCTAATGGGGATTGTGGTAACTGTAATCCACACTTTTTTCTTTCATAGTCTGTGACACGTAGGCACTGGAGTAAACAGAAGTCAATCAGAAGCTTGGTGGCATTTCAGGGAACACCTTTAACTTCAGACATGGCTTGGGACACTTGCTGCACTTCCCTGTCCCTCCTGTCTCCTTTCACTGCAAACAATTAACACATGAACAGCAAAAAGACACCAACAAAAAAAGATCAAGGATTAAAATGCTTTCATTTTTATACATTTGTCAGGGGCACTGAAGACTTCATTAAATTGCTAGTAAATAAAATAAATGGTCAGTAAGAGCCTGTCAGCTCAGCAGCAGGTTTGCGCAATTGCAGGATGACTCCTCAGGCTTATCTTGCATTTCACAAACCAGAAGAGCTGACTGTGAGGGAAAGAAAGAAGCGTGGTCAAATATTAAGCAGCATGAGGCCTTTTATCAGCCAAGGATCAGAGAACTCTAACTACAGGCTAACCTGTCAGGATACCTGCCAAAGCAGGTGTTTTAAAATAGTCGAGGTGTTATGAAGTGAATGAGGCAATGAAAAGCTGATCTTCTTAGTACATATGGAGATCGCAGCATGTTCCTCTTCTGCTAACGTTACACATGCTATCACAGTTTGCGTGGTAATTTCAGTGGGTGTGTCCATCAAAGGGCTGGCATTTGTTTCACTCACGTTCACGTTATAGATCAGCCTCTTTTCCACCAACCAGGAGTTGGCATTTTGCTAATTCTCCCCTCTGACATTCCAGTAACAGGTTTTGCATTTGTAGGGAAGTGAGTGAAGCTGACAGCTTGTTTGCAGGCAGGATTATTAGCACTGCTTGGGGACAGGCCCAACAGTGAGAAAGAGTGAGGGATCTGCGTCATATGTTGTGAGGACCAAATCTGCTTAACCTACTTTAGTTTTGCACAAAATATCTTGGGTTTACTGGAGCTCCAGTATGGTAGCTATTTGTGATCCAATTTGTTGTTCATCAAAGTTTCAGTGGTGATGAATTATTTAAGGGACAACAAGCAAGGGGCAAGTTTTCCTACATTAAAATATTATCCTTATTTAAGTAAAAGTCCTGAAACAAAAACGGAAAAATAGACCCTACTTAATGATTAGCAAAAAAATGTGCACAAGTGTATTTTAGTAGCAATTTCCAATATAGGGTTTACTTAAAGGGCCATGACATACATTTGAAGAGTCCTGAGATGATTAATGAAGTGAGATCTAGCCAATATTTCACAAAAAGGCCATCTTTGGCTTTTGGTGAAGTATTGGGATAGTTTTACGTCTTTGGATTAGCAAACCATTTAAAAAGTTTATTGGGGATTCTGTCTCTTGTTGAAACACTTACAACTCATAAAGTGTTTGAACTCCAAATAATGTTTGTAGAATCTGCAGTTGTCCTTTTCATATGTGGCACACAGCGGGAGATGATACACCTCACATGCGTTCTCACTACTGGCAACACTTCAGAAGGTTTAGGGAAGAGTGTTGTCTAGT